GCCATGTAGAATTGGACATTTGAACATCTTGCATGTTGAGAGAAAATTCTCTAAGGCGGGCAAAGATCTAAATCCTAACTTGAGAACTGCACATCTGAACATACAAATTAGAAGTTAGCAGTGGACAAACCTAGCAACTTTGCATTAATAGGTGCATCCAAACTTGTCTTTTTGACAGCCTTAAAATACAGGATTTTGTCCGCTTTTCTACTATAGAATCAACCATCAATGTTGGAAAATTTTCTAGCAGTATCAGAATCTCAAGTTATGATTAAGCTCAGTATAAGAAAACAAATGAGGAAATGATTTGAAACTAACATCCTGAAACCAAAAGATACAACTGTAATCCAAGTGCAATAAAGCAAAGATTAGGTCAACAGCTTTAAGTGGATTTTTTCTGCTTTTTCTTCTCCGCTTCCTCTTCTTTTTCTTTCTCTATCTCGGCCACCAGGGTCTCTATTTCCTTGGATTCCAAAATCTATAAATACATGGGAAAACAATGGGTAGCTTTTGCAGGAGCTTAAATAAATAACATCCGATATACATTACCGGGTAAACTTCTTGCTTACCTTGAGCGGCTGGTTTCGTCTTATTACAGCAAGTTCAATATTCTTTCCTCCCGACTGCACAACCTGTGATCAATTAAGGGATAGTTGGCAATCAAAAATTATAAAAAAAAAAAAAAAAAAAAAAAAGAAGGATAATGATAAAATTGTTTGGAAAAGTCCTAAAATATCTAAAACGTTACAATTTTACATCAAGTCACAAAGGTTTTTAGTTGTGTAAATAACAGATGTAAACATATTTCGATAGATCCTCCAAATTTTCTGTTTATTAACCCCCTTTTTTGTCCAGATAACTTTCCCAATTTTCAAGCAGGTTTTCTAACATGTTGGACTTTTGAGCATAAATCACTTGTATATTCCAGAAATAATGTGCTCTTTTATTATAGGCTTTACTTTTCAGGCAAACCAACTTCGCTGAGATACTATTTACAATACATAGATACCGCTGATGTATTAAATTAGATTTCTCATCTATGGTAAACAAATATAGTTAAATAAATTGATATTCTGTGAAACCTACATTTTGTTTGTAGATATAAATTTAATGTAATAGAATTATAAGAAAGCATTTTAAGTAAATCAAGCAGATACAAGACAATATGACCTTACCTCAAGCAAAGCTTTGATGGCCAACTTAATGGCCTCATTGTCCCCAGCGATGGCTTCATCCGTATAATTCTTCTCCAAGAACTCCCTTACAGTTTTCGCACTGCGGCCGATTGCATTTGCCTGGATGTTTTACACAAAGTTCCACAACCAAATCAATGGTAATCATTTTCAAACATGCCCTGTGCGTGTGACACATGCAAAAAGAAGAAAGTAATGAACTTTAAAATCCACCGACCTTCCAGGCATGGTATGTCCCTGATGGGTCTGTCTGATACAGTCTAGGGGTTCCATCATAGTCAAAGCCAACAATTAATGCAGAGATTCCAAATGGCCGACGTCCATTGCTTTGAGTGTATCGCTAAAAAACATTAAAGATGGTGAAATACTCAAGAGGGATACAAGTTCAAACTGAGGCCTTTGTGGCGTCCTCGTTGCTCCAGTCTAATTTTTCAATGCTCAAAAAAATTATAGAAAACTACATTTTAATGGCAAGAATGTGAAATACCTGCTTCAGTGTTGCAATGTATCTTGTGATATATTCCACTGTGACAGGATCTTCAACTGTTAGCCTGTGGCTCTGGCACTCAACCCGAGCTCTGTTTATCACAATGCGGGCATCTGCTGTCAGACCTTAAAAGAAACAAAGCAGAATTTAAACAAGAGATAGAAATTGTATAAGGTATAAAAGTCTATATTGCAATGCGTTTCGTGCCATTATCTATTTCAGAAAGAAAATGACTGCATTATGTAAATGTCAAAAAGAAACAGATTTCTGAGGTACCTGCAAAAGCCATGCAGACATGCTCGTCCAGTGCACAGATCTTGCGAACAGTCCTTTCTTCCTGCAACTTCGCAACCGATTTCTTCTCCACACCAAGAACAACAATGTCTTTCCCTCGGATTCCAACCTGAACAAAAGAAACAGGACAAATGTAGGTTTCATTTCCTAATTATGCAGCATCAAATATCTTATATGTAGGTGTGTGCAAGTGATGATGCAATCACACATGAGAAGCAAAACTATGAAGTCTATTTTCAACTGCAAGTCGGCTTGTTTCAGGAATGAAGTCAAAACTTAACACGATTTCAATATTTATAAAATCGAGACTAAGTGCCATTAATTTACCAAGAAAATTGTATTTTGTGGCTACTCAACAGCACGTTTTGCCTAGTTTGTTAAGTCGTAACTTTGTGCATTATCACTGGCATTGAGCAAGCTGGCATAACATTACACAGAGATGCAGAAACTAGACCCAAACACCTCCTGTTTGTAGAGATTAATTTTTTTTAAAAGAACTGCAATAGAAAGAGAAAACTTTGCAACAGTTTTCTGAGTGGAAGTTTAACCCCTTCAGGTCTGAAATATAAGATTATCTTTGTTCATAAATAATGCATTAGCTTTACTCACACTTGAAAAAGATGTAGATTTAACTAAAACCATACATGCTGTGTGTTGATATAATGTTACATTTATAGACCAAAAGTAATTTGATACCTTGGATTTAGGCAATACCCTCAAGGCTTTTTTCTGCATTTGACATCTTATACATCTAGGTTAGAATAATTGTGTTTCAAATCACCGACAGATTGATTGCTGTATTTCCAAATTACATCCAATCAACAACTGTCTGGCATGTTATTCTTTTATTTTTATTTTGTTTTTTGACTTTGTCACTTGGTGACAGGGCAGACAAAAGTGGAGACTTCTATAATACTCTTCCTTGCACATTATTTACTTTGCAGAATCTTCAAAATTAAGTTTATATTGGGTGTTTTACAAAAGAAGACAAAGTTTGGATTAAAGGTCTGAAGATTTTAAGCCATTTAGAAATTGTATTACTTATTTTGCATCTCAATTTCCAATTTCTTTTCATACGTTATGTCTTTAATGAATGCAATGTGGAATTGAAGCAGATTTTTTTTCTAAATAAAAGCGGATTCAGATTTATTAGATTCCTTGCAATGCTCTACAAAAACGCTTTCTCATCTGTGACTGCTACTAAATAATTTTCAAGATGCCATCGCGTTTAAGTTAGATTTTGTATAGAAGGCGAGAAAGGCAGCATTTATATAATGCTGTAGATGAGACAACGAATACTCCATATAACCCAGAAACTATAGTTTTGCCTAAATGTAATCATCTTTAATAGTCCAACATCACGATTACTTTCTTCCAGTGTCCCGTTTTTTTAAAATCAAATACAAACCGAAACTACCGTGAGAGTGACACAGCGACAAAATGCTAACGATGCTAGCATAAACATCGCCCCAACTGAACTATTAGGACAGGTCAACAGTCCAAATATAATATTTGGTCACAACAATGTCCCATATCTAAAAGAAAAAATGTATATTAAACTGGTTAACGAATAAAGACTATTTTGTGGCGGCTAGCTTCTGTGCTAACAGATGCTGACCACGTTAGCTTTTGCATCAATTCAATGCACCGACTTACCGCAGTGGAACCTTTCTTTACAGCTTCCTGGGCATACTCTACTTGAAAGAGATGACCATCGGGAGAAAATACAGTAATGGCTCTATCATATCTTGCTGCCATTTTGCTGCAAGACAAACTAGTGGAGACGAAAGTAGTAAAAGCTCAACTTGATTCAGCTAGTTAGCAACAAGCGTGGAAATGCGCATGCGCGTCACCCACTAACGGCGGATACTTTTTTTTTTCTTCCAAATCTTTATTTATATTTATATACAAAACAACGTATCAAAGCACACTTTAAACCTAAAAAGGGAAATGTAATGCGTTTAACTAAGCAGGCAAAGAAAATAGAGAACAGTCACGAAAAACAATTTGAAGATAAAACGAAGGACCGAGTACAGACAATATTAAGGATTTTCTCTACAGTAAACTAGACATGCTGGAAATTAATAAGGTCTTCACAAATCTGGACTCGTGAAAAGAAAAGGATTAAATACATTTTTTAAAGATAGTTTGATTCTCGCCATCTTATCATAAACGAAATTAAAGGTGTAGTAGAAATATATTTGGTAAATTTTTCTGCTACTAAAATACAGAAGAGGATTAGGGCCACTGAAAAATGTAAAAAAAAAAAAAAAAAAGGTAAACTGATTTTTGCATCTTATTTCAGTATAATATGAGAAAAAAGTCAGAATTCCTACCTTTTCCTCAAAATTTTGACTTGAATCCCAGAATTCTGACTTTTTATTAGAATTCTGACTTTTTTCTCAGAATTCTGACTTGAATATTGGAATTCTGACTTAAATCTTAGAATGTTGACTTTATTCTCAGAATTTTGATTTTTTTTTCCCTCAGAATTCTGGCTTTATTCTCAGAATGAAGATCTTATTCTCAGAATTCTGACTTTTTTCTCAGAAGTCTGACTTTAAACTCAGAATTCTGACAATGTATTTTTTTATTATATATATATATATATATATATATATATATATA